TGTTCATTCTTACAAACTCTTGCTTAATTTGGTCAATTTTCAAATATTTGATGCTACTTTGTTGATGATTGCTTGGTTTGGTTATTTGAAAATGATACAGGTTCTGCTTCGAGATTCGTCGGATGAAAATGTTATTCCTGTCTTGGAGGAGCTTCAGAGACGTTTGCCTGTTGGAGACGAGGCACACAATGAAGGGGATGAAGAAGATGGTACCTACCTTCTCAACCTTTGCCATTTTAAAGTACACAAAGATGGAAAAGTCTTGATCTTGTGATGCCTGCATAAGTTAAGAACCATTTTCACTTATTGTATTTGATATGTGGTGCTTGATAGAATCACCGTTTGAATTTCGGGCGCTAGAGGTGGCTTTGGAAGCTATTTGTAGCTTCTTAGCTGCAAGGACAACGGAATTAGAGACGTCTGCTTATCCTGCTTTGAATGAACTTACCTCAAAGGTCGGTAATCTCAGCGATTATTGTTATCACTCAAACCATTTCCAACTACATTAGACGATGAGCACAATTTCGTTTTGTAGATAAGTGGCCTTAACTTGGAAAGGGTTCGTAAATTGAAGAGTACCATGACCCGATTGACAGCTCGGGTCATAAAGGTGAGCATGTGACACTTGTAAACAGAGTATCATGATTTTCGGTTTAAATGACTAGAGGAGATATAATCAATCATATAAAGCTTTAACATCACTCTTTGTAGGTAAAGGATGAGCTCGAACAATTGTTGGATGATGACGATGATATGGCTGATCTATACCTCACAAGGAAGCTTGCTGGTGTATCTTCATCGATTAGCGTTTCTGATGAACCCCCTTGGCATCCTACGTCCCCAACGATAGGTTCTAAGATTTCCAGAGCAAGTAGAGTGAGTTTAGCCACTGTTCGTGGGGACGATGAAAATGATGTAGAAGAACTTGAAATGTTGCTCGAGGTTGGTTGCATGATTGGTGTAGTATCTTGCATTACGTCCTGTTTTGAGCTACATATGAATTTTTAAACAACCTTTTAACTTGATTTTGTTTTTACAGGCATACTTCATGCAAATCGACAACACTTTGAACAAATTAACCGCGGTATTGTATCTCCTTGTTCCCTTGTGTTATTGCCTCTCTTTTATTTATAGTTGTGAATCTTTGTGATATCTCTGACTCCGAAAGTACAATTGAACATAATGCAGATACGCGAGTATATCGATGACACAGAGGATTACATTAACATCCAGGTAACCAAAATGGAAACCTATTTTCTTGGAAATGTAATCTCTGATAGACTAGTGTAATAGACTAATAATCATCATCGACTTGTTTTTGCAGCTAGATAACCATAGAAATCAACTCATTCAGGTGAGTTGAATATAAGACGAAATCAAGATTTGTTTGATACATCTTTTTTTTGTTTTCATATTTTGGGCCTCTTTATGCGTCTCTAAGAAACACTTGGAAACTCTGCAGTTAGAGCTTATGTTAAGCTCTGGAACCGTATGTATATCAATGTACTCGATGATCGCGGGAATATTCGGCATGAACATTCCGTACACATGGAAAGACGACCATGGATACATTTTCAAATGGGTACGTACGAGTCGCATTACAGTTTCCAAACATCTTGATGATGGTCATTTCAACCTGATTTCATTTTGTTCTTCTTGTTGTTGAAGGTCGTCATTCTCACTGGAGCAGTTTGTGCAGTCTTCTTCGTGATTATACTGTCGTACGCTCGGTTTAGAGGGCTCATTGGATCTTGATAACCAAAGAGAGGAATTGGTATAGATTTACTGCAGAGATTGTGTGAGGAGCAAATTTTGTAACCAGAAATCTTTTTTACTGTACTTACTAGCGATGAGATTGTAAATTTGTAAATATACATTTAATTTTCTCGACCAAATAAAGGAACTCGGATAACCGAACAAAACCAAGATAAGAAGATAACCGAACTTAATTTTCTCCAATCTGAGGTTAACCGAGTCAAAATTATTTTTTCCCAACCGGAAATAACCCGACTCGAGTTTGGTAAGTTGAGAGTCCAGCCTCCAGGGAAGAACATGACTCGTCCATTCTCATTTTCGCCAATAGATCTCTCTTTTCTCTTCTTCACTGTTCTTTGATTCTCTGCCTGGAGCTCGAGGGGGATTTCTTCTGTCTCAGATCCACCAGGTTTTCAGTTCTCTTATATATATATATATTTTTTGTTTTCTGGGTTTGTATTGATTGCTTGATATGGATTCATGAATCGGAATTGCATAGCTGTTTTTATGCAATTTGATGTTCTGATTTTTAGAATTTTCCCACCACTGGCTCTTCAATTTTCCATGATCTTTTTAGGGTTATGCTAATTGCTTTCTCTGGATTACTAAAATTTGGGCAATAATCCCTAAATCGGCACCTTTAGAGTTTGTTTTGTTCTCCAACTTTCGTCTATCAAAGTCTCTTTGTTATGTGCAAGTTTAGA